GGGGGGGCACGGGTGGTGGTTGGGGGTGGGGGTCTCACCAGTCTCCGTTGGACCCCCAAGCCTCATATGATTTGGGGCTTTGTTCCACATGTTCTCCGGCTCTGTCCAGGGCCTCCTAATGGGGTTCCTTCTGGGCAGTTAGTAGTGGTAGTAGTGGTAGGTGGACACCATCGAGTGCTCTGTACCGACCATCTTTCCAGCAGTTACATGCGCTCTGTGCACCGCCCAGGGACCCTCACGGGTCTGATGGACAAACCTGTTCAGAGTTAGAAGCTTGCCGAGGGCCCCACTGTTGGTAAGTAGGTGAGGCAAGAAGCAGACCTGGGAGAGGCCAGGGCCAGCCCAGCGCCTGGACCGATGGCCGCCTACACCAGCTTGGTGAGAGGAATGACCGACAACTCCAGTCCTCTTGATCCTGGAAGAGTCCCCACCCCCTTGAGCTGTGATGAAAGCCCAGGACTAGACCCACTTGGCCCACCTCTCTACAGACCCCAAGGCACCAGCCCACCCACCCACCTGGGAACCAACAGCCCCTCCCGATGTCCACCCCTGCCTCCTCCCACTCCTGCATGAAACTCCTTGAGGGTTTGGGTGGTGTTGCTTCTGATCCCAGGAGAAAGATCCCCCGGCTCCCGGAGGGCCACCCCTATCCGAGCGGGAGAACAAGAGGGCACCCCAACATCATGGCAGGGGCTGACCCACTGATGCATGTGGGGACGGGAGAGGAAGGGCCCTAAAAGGAAGGGCTTGGGCGAAGCTGCCCGGGTGGAGGAGGCCCAGGTCTGGCCTGCAGGGCTGCGTTGCTCCAGCAGGCTGGGGACAGCCTATTCAAGCCAGTCCTTGATGCAGAGGGGAATCAGCATGGAGACGAGACTGAAGGCAGTCCCAGGGTTGTCATGGGGACAGGCCAGGGAGCCTGCACCCTGGCAACCTGGCTGGGAGGGGGCGGGGCCTGGACTTGGAACAGCACTGAGGGGGCCACCCTCTGGGGACAGACAGAGGCCTGTCCATCACACTTCAGCCAGTCAGAGGCTTCCAGGAGGCTGGGGCAAGGAGCTGGCTTCCTCTGAGCCAAGCCATCTACCACTCCTACATCCTGAAATTGTATCCCTGACCCAGCTCCCCAAGCCTGCTCTGTCCAAAACAGCATCTGGTGGGCCTTCTCTGGTCCTCCATTTGCACACCAAAGGCCCCCTGTGTGCCAGGCACCAGTGAGGGGTGAGCAAGACAGACCCAGTCTCTGCTCCAAAGAAACTACCATCCAAGAGGGGCAGGGAGATGAACCCAGAGCCACTCCACAGCGAGAGAACTTTACTGTGTTTGAGGTCGATCAGTAAAGAAGACGAACGGAAAGTGCTACCATTACCCTGGGTGTCGCAAATGGTTAAGTGCTTGACTCCTGAAGGAAAGGTTGCTAGTTTGAAACATACATGCGTGGGTGTGTGCAAGCACGCACACACACACCACCACCACCACCACCAAGGTGCCGCAGCAGAGCAGCCATCTGCTTTGGGAAGGTGGCAGGGTTGAGATCCCCAAGGAGCAGTTCTGCTGTGGCAGGTGGTGACACCAGGGCCGGGAATGGCATCAACGGCAGCTGGCTGGTTGAGAGCCTGTCTTCCTGCAGAAGGTCTTGCTTCAATCCCTCTGCGGCAGCAGCAGCAGCTGGGCAGTGGGAATATTTTAGCTCAGGAATGAGGATTGAGCAGAGACCTGATGAGTGGACGGGAAGAGCTAACCGAGGGTCTGGAGGCTGGGCAGCAACCAGGACAGGCCACTCGCTCGCTCCTGGTGCCGGGCAGAACGAGGCGGGGTGCTCACGTGCCTGGAGTGGAGAGGAGCAGAGAGGGGAGAGGGCATCAGAGGGGCCGGGGCCAGGCTGAGAGGGGGCCAGTTGCCACAGGCGTTTGCAGTCAGGGACACAGTCAGATATATAGCTAGAAAGATCGCTCTTTCCCAGGTTTGGAAGACCAAAGACATTCCGCTTTCATATTCCTGTATCGTTAAACTGTGCGAGCCAGCCAGGCGCCTGTGTTTCTTGGGGTCCCCAAGATCCATGGCTTTGACACTCCCACCCCTCATCCATTGCCTTCTATTGGGGGCTAGTGCTTCCGTTGCCCTTGGCTTCCCAGGTTTGACTCCATCTGCATAAAGAAGCCCTGGCGAGAATAATGATAATAAATGATGGTAATGAATGTGGCCACCCAAAGAGGCAGGACTCCCCCCCACCCCACACACACACACACACACACTGCAGACATTCACATCACGTAGACGCTTGGACCCCAGGCACACATTGTCCGCCCTGTTTCTTGTGTCTGCCATCACAAAGCGCCACCAACTGGGTGGCCGAGAAGAGACTTGCCTTCCTGCCTCCTGCCCTCTGAAGACAAGACCCAAGCAAACACCCCCCCCAAGCTCACTGCCGTCGAGTGCTGCTGGTGGGTTCAAACGCCGACCACAGTTAAGTCTAACAGCCAAACTCACTGCTGTGGAGTGGATTCCGACCGAGCTGCTGGCCTTGTAGTCAGCAAGCCCACCCATGACCACGACCCCAGCAGGGCTC